GAAAACGGGATGCTTTCTTTACGCCACAGATATGTGGAACATTGAGGGAAATATACTCCGATTTAAGAGAAGATGAAGCCTCTGATGACCTCACATTCAAAGAAAGAGAAAAAGGGCGCTTTGGTTTAACTGCAGTGCAAAGTAGAAAAGCCTTTTGTGATATTGAAAGAAAAGCAGGAGAGACTTCTGCCCAGCTGGGTAGACATATTGATAAAGCTCTGGGCAGATGGGTGGAAGGAGGGAAAATGGAAACTGTTGATGAGCTTCTCTGTAGCCTGAAATGCGCTGCTGAAGCTCTGAGAGACGCAGGAGCTGATGGCTTCCCTTTGACTTTTGTCTCTCGCAGGTGACCGAAGGATGCCCCCCAGACCTCCTCATCCATCTTTTCATGAGAACGGAGGAGAAGCAGCAGCTGTGGAAACAGATCTGGTATGGGGAAAGAGCTTTGTGGGGAAAGAGTCAGAGGAGTGGGGCAGCCAGGGAGCCTCTGGGCCGGAAAGAATTTCTCCTCCTCTTGGCTTCTGTCAAAGCCTCTGTCCTGAACAAAGATGGACAATGCCATTCAGGAAGGTTTATGTGCTGACAGGAATGAATAGCCATCTCTCCTTAACTGGGCTTCGGAATGTCACTATTTTTATGATTTATCAGTAGCTGCAGTTATATTTCTATATTGAACTAATCAGGCTTCTAAGCAGTTGAGAAGCCATAGCAAACAGTGGCCGGGATTCACCTCAGCAGCCCCATCAGCTGAAGAAGGGGAATCCCCTCCTCCCCCTCTCTGTGCCCCCATGAGCCCCTTGAAGTTGGCTGTAGGGCAGAGGGAGGGTCCCATCGCCCCCCAAGCATCGCACAGCGGGAGTAGAGAAGGGATCGTTCTGTCTGGCAGACAGGAATACTTCCACAGACAGAATGATTTGAAGAACATCATGCGGAGTTCCACCCATTCACACAAAGATTAATACCCATCATTAGAATGCACCATAAAAGAATTACATTAAAATGTTAAAATAGGCATCCAAGCCTAAAATGTGCAGCAAAATAATCCCATTAAAACAACACAACAGTGAACGGGCAGAAAATAACCAAGCAGTGTGTGGTAGATAATCCATTAACACAAAGAAGAAGAAGATGATGATGATCATGATCATGATGATAATAATTTATTATTTGTACCCCGCCGATCTGGCTGACTTTCCAATCGAGTGTTAAAAACAGTACAGCATTAAATATTAAAAACTTCCCTGAACAGGGCTGCCTTCAGATGTCTTTGAAAGAGAAGATAGCTGCTTATTGGGTGGCGCTGTGGGTAAAACCTCAGCGCCTAGGACTTGCCGATCGGAAGGTCAGCAGTTCAAATCCCCGCGGCGGAGTGAGCTCCCGTCTTTCGGTCCCAGCTCCTGCCCACCTAGCAGTTCGAAAGCATGTCAAAGTGCAAGTAGATAAATAGGTACCGCTTTATAGCGGGAAGGTAAACGGCGTTTCCTTGTGAAGCGCTGGTGCCAGAGCAGCTTCGTCACGCTCGCCACATGACCCGGAAGTGTCTGCGGACAGCACTGGCCCCCGGCCTCTTAAGTGAGATGGGCGCACAACCCTAGAGTCGGACACGACTGGCCCGTACAGACAGGGGTACCTTTACCTTTACCTTTTATGAAGGGAGGGCGTTCCACAGGGCGGGCGCCACTATCGAGAAGGCCCTCTGCCTGGTTCCCTGTAGCTTTGCTTCCCGCAGGGAGGGAACCACCAGAAGGCCCTCGGAGCTGGACCTCAGTATCCGGGCAGAATGATGGAGGTGGTGACGCTCCTTCAGATATACAGGACCGAGGCCGTTTAGGGCTTTCAAGGTCAGTACCAACACTTTGAATTGTGCTCGGAAACATACTGGGAGCCAATGTAGGTCTTTCTGACCGGTGTTATATGGTCTTGGCGGCTGTTCCCAGTCACTATTCTAGCTGCCGCATTCTGGATTAATTGCAGTTTCTGGGTCACCTTCAAAGGTAGCCCCACGTAGAGCACATTGCAGTAGTCCAAAGTAGTCCATTGCAGTAGTACAAAGATTAATACCCATCATTAAAATGCACAATAAAATTATTCAGTTACCCTATTTTTTGCTCCATAAGGCGCATCTGGCCATAAGACGCACCTAGTTTTTAGAGAAGGAAAACAGGGGTGGTTGTGAATCAAATGTTGTACTAAACTATTTAATAAACTACCGGTATATCAGAGTGAGAGGGACAGGAGCTATATGTTTGTTTAGCATGGACGCTCAAGGAGCCAGCGGATCAGCTGAGATGCTGAGGGATTTGCGTAATTTTCCCCTCTCCCTCATCCTGTGCCCTCCTGTCCCCAGCAGCCTTCCTGTTTTACCTCCTGGTTTTCACTGCGCTCGTGGCTCAGAGCTCGAGGTGGTTGTTTTTTTGCTGCTGGTTGCTTAAAATTTATCCTTCCCAATCCAGCCTCTCCTGTGCCCTATCGTCCCTCTGCAGCCTCATTCCTCCATTTAGGGAGCGCGCGGACCTTTGCTAGCTGAGGCTGCTGCAGCTGTTGCTGGCTTGTTGTTGTTGTTTAGTCGTTTAGTGGTGTCCGACTCTTCGTGACCCCCTGGACCAGAGCACGCCAGGCACTCCTGTCTTCCACTGCCTCCCGCAGTTTGGTCAAACTCATGCTGGTAGCTTCAAGAACACTGTCCAACCATCTCGTCGTCTGTCGCCCCCTTCTCCTTGTGCCCTCCATCTTTCCCAGCATCAGTGTCTTCTCCAGGGAGTCTTCTCTTCTCATGAGGTGGCCAAAGTATTGGAGCCTCAGCTTCACGATCTGTCCTTCCAGTGAGCACTGGTTACGCACCACTTTTAAAAGCACCTGCTGGCTTTGAATCGCCTGCCCCCCCTTGCTATTTTACTTGTTTGTCCTGGGTTTTTTTTCCATTTAACAATTTGCAGCCTTTTCCTTCCGCTGCTTGTTTTGAGGCAGGATAGATTTGAGCACGTGAGCAGGACTTGGATTGCAGGGAATTCGCCATTAGCTGTGTAAATGCACTCCTCCTTGCTGCCTTCTACTTTGTTTGTACACGTGGCTACCTAACAATAGTGAACCTACCTCTTTTCTACTGTAAAAGTTACGCTTGTGCTCCAATTCTGTTACTGCCAGTGGCTGCTTATCACTCAAACTGAACCTGATAGCCATGCTCAAATATATAAAAGGATGTCACATAGAGGAGGGAGAAAGGCTGTTTTCTGCTGCTCCAGAGAAGCGGACACGGAGCAATGGATCCAAACTACAAGAAAGAAGATTCCACCTAAACATTAGGAAGAACTTCCTGACAGTAAGAGCTGTTCGACAGTGGAATTTGCTGCCAAGGAGTGTGGTGGAGTCTCCTTCTTTGGAGGTCTTTAAGCAGAGGCTTGACAACCATATGTCAGGAGTGCTCTGATGGTGTTTCCTGCTTGGCAGGGGGTTGGACTCGATGGCCCTTGGGGTCTCTTCCAACTCTAGGATTCTATGATTCTATTCTATGATATAGTCTATTCAACTCTGCTTTTAGCACCTCTTGTTTGTTTTATGGCTGTGCTAGTAGCCTGAGAGTTACAACTGATTAGCTGTTAGTTAGCAAGACCAGTTGCTAGGCAACAAGCGGATGTGCAGCACACCCCCAAACAGACCCGACACAAGACCCTAGCAGCCTCCTCTCGTGTAAGCGGCTCCTCTCCCGCTTTGCTGCCTTAAAGCAAGCCACGGAGGAGGGAAGGAAGGGGAGCCATGGATCCTCTGCTCGCGACTGCATCGGCAGCGGAGGGATCCCGCCACCATCCGTACGCATTCACTCCATAAGACGTACAGACATTCCCCTTACATTTTAGGATGAAAAAAGTGCACCTTATGGAGCAAAAAATACGGTAAAATACTAAAATAGGCATCAGTACCTAAAGTGTGCAGCAAAGTAATCCATTAAAACAGCACAACAATCAACAGACAGAAAACAACCGGGCAATGTGTAGTAGATAATCTTTATGCTGTCTCAGAAGAGGACCTTTTTCCTTTTCCTTCAGGGTCCTCTGTGCTTTGAAGATGTCGCTGTGTATTTCACTGAGGAGGAGTGGGCGTTGCTGGATCCTGACCAGAGAGCTCTGCATAAGGAAGTCATGGAGGAGAACTGTGCGACTGTGGACTCTCTCAGTAAGGATTCCTGCTGGACTATAATATATGTTTTGAAATACACACACACACACACACACACACCCCTACCTCCACCTGTGAGAATCCTGCAATATTTTGATGGTGCTTGACAGCATCTGGGATTCTCCTTCCCCGCAGCTCACCTTGAATCAACTGTTCTGTCTGCAAATATTCTTGCCCCACATATGCCTTTTTAAACCATGACCAGTCTGGTCTGAGCTGCCCAGACCTTCTTGAATGTAACTTTCTGTGTGGTGGCAGAAGAAGTAGTAGTCAACAAAGGCAGTGAACCCTGTAGTAAGGCCTCAGATCTAGCTCCCTTCAGTTCTTCATACATTACAAACATTCATTAGCAGTCTTCCATAATTTGGAGTTCCATTTCATCCTGAGGCTCTAATCTGTTTCTCTCTTTGATGCAGGTGCTGATGGAATGGAAATTATGAACAAGGGAGGTCATGACAACATTCACAGAGTGGGGAAGCTGTATAAATATTTAGAATGTGGAGAGAGCTATATTCAGAGCTCCTATTACCACTTCCCATAATATAAATCCTATTGGAAAGAATCTCTATCAGTGGTTAAAAGATGATAGGACGTTTCGTCAGAAGAAATGTCTCTCTTTCCATCCAAGATCTCAGAGCAGGGAGAAACCACATCATTGCTTTGAATGTGGAAAGAGCTTCAGCCAAAGGGCTAAGCTCATTACGCATCAAAGAATTCATACAGGGGAGAAACCATTTCAGTGCTTAGAATGTGGAAAGAGCTTCAGTCAGAGGGGCCATCTCACTTCCCATCAAACAATTCATACTGGGGCGAAACCATATATGTGCATGAAATGTGGAAAGACTTTCAGTCGGGAGGATAGTCTCACTTCACACCAAACAATTCACAGTGAGGAGAGACCATATCAGTGCTTAGAATGTGGAAAGAGCTTCAAATGGAAGAAAAGTCTCACTTTACATGAAAGATTTCACAGAGGGGAGGGACCATATAAGTCCTTGGAATATGGAAGTAGCTTCAGTCAGAATAGTAGTCTCACTTCACATCAAAGAATTAACATTGAGGAGAGACCATATCAGTGCTTGGAATGTGGAAAGAGCTTCAGTCACAGGGCTGTTCTGAAGACCCATCAAAAAATTCACACAGGAGATAAATTGTATCAGTGCTTGGAATGTGGAAAGAGCTTCAGTTACAAGCACGTACTCACAGCCCATCAAAGAATTCATACAGGGGAGAAACCGTATCAGTGCATGGAATGCGGAAGGAGCTTCAGTCGAAAGGACCATCTCGCTTCCCACCAAATAACTCACAGTGGAAAGAAACCCCATCACTGCTTGGAATGTGGAAAGAACTTCAGTCACAGACATGTGCTCACGGCCCATCAAAGAATTCATACAGGGGAGAAACCGTATCAGTGCATGGAATGCGGAAAGAGCTTCAGTCACAGACATGTGCTCACGGCCCATCAAATAATTCATACAGGGGAGAAACCATATAACTGCTTGGAATGTGGAAGGAGCTTCAGGAATAGGGCCGATCTCAATTACCATCAAATAAGTCACAGTGGAGGGGAAACCCATAAGTGCTTGGAATGTGGAAAGAGCTTCAGTCAGAGAGCTAAACTCATGGCTCATCAGAGAATTCATACAGGAGAGAAACCATATCAGTGTTTTGAATGTGGAAAGCGCTTCAGGAATAGGACCCATCTCACTTCCCATCAAAGAACTCACAGCGGGGAGAAACCCCATAAGTGCATGGAATGCGGAAAAATCTTCCTGCAGAGGGATCGGCTAAAGGCTCATCAGAGAATTCATACAGGGGAGAAGCCATATCAGTGCTTGGAATGCGGAAGGAGCTTCAGTAGGAAGGACCATCTCACTTCCCACCAAATAACGCACAGTGGGAAGAAACCCCATCACTGCTTGGAATGTGGAAAGAACTTCAGTCACAGGGCTGTGCTCAAGGCCCATCAAAGAATTCACAGAGGTGAGAAACCATATCAGTGTTCAGAATGTGGGAAGAGCTTCGGCAAGAAGGCTGTGCTCACAGCCCATCAAAGAATTCATCTAGGGGAGAAACCACACCAGTGTTCTGAATGTGGGAAATGCTTCAGTCAGAAGGTCCACCTCACTTCCCATCAAAGAACTCATACAGGGGTGAAACCATATCTCTGCATGAAATGTGGAAAGCCTTTCAGTCGGAAGGATAGTCTCATTTTACATGAAAGAATTCACAGAAAAGAAGAACCATATAAAACCTTCAAATGTGTAAGGGACTTCATTAAGGGATCCCAGTTCACTTCCCATCAAATAACACACAGTGGTGAGAAAGCATACCAGTGTTTGGAATGTGGGAAGAACTTCAAATGGAAGAATAGTCTCACTTTACATCAAACAATTCACAGTGAAGAGAGACCGTATCAGTGCTTGGAATGTGAGAAGAGCTTCAAATTGAAGAAAAGTCTCACTTTACATCAAATTCTTCACAGTCAGGAGAGACCATTTCAGTGCTTGGAATGTGGAAAATGCTTCAGTCGTAAGGCATATCTCACTTCCCATCAAACAATTCACCGTGAGGAGAGACCATATCAGTGCTTGGAATGTGGAAAGAGCTTCAAATGGAAGAAAAGTTTCACATTCCATCAAAGAATTCATACAGGGGAGAAACCATATCAGTGCTTCGAATGTGGAAAGAGCTTCATGCAGAGGTCTAAGATGACAATCCATCAAAGAACTCACCGCAAGGAGACTCATAGCATTTGAAGATGGTTGACACTTCTCTTAATCTCCTCTTTTTGGGACAAAACATCTCAAACTCAGAACTCTGGGTATAGGGTGGTGTATCATTTTGATCTCCTTCCTCTGCACGTGTTCCAGCTTGACAATATCCCCCTTTTATTGTGGTGTCCAGAACTGGACCCTGTACTCCAGGTGTGTTCTGACCAAGGCAGAAGGGAGCAGTAACATTACTTCTGATAATCAGGACACCAGATGTCTGTTGATGCAGCCTAAAATAACATTAGCTTATTTTACTGCTGCCTCACATTGTTGACTCGTGTTAATCTTGTGGTGTACTAAGACCCCTAGGTCCTTTTCACAGGTAAAGTATCCCTGACAAATGGCCATCCAAGCTCTGCTGAAAACTTCCAACAAAGGAGAGTCCACCACCTCCTGAGGGAGACGGTTCCACTGTCGACAGCTCTTACTGTCAGAAGGTTCTTCTTGATGCTTAGTCAGAATCTCCTTTCCTGTAACTTGAAGCCATTGATTTGAGTCCTACTCTCCAGAGCAGGAGAAAACAAGCCTGCTCCCTGGAGCAGCCCTTGAGATATCTGAAGTTGACTGTTGTATCTCCTCTCAGTCTCCTCTTTCCCAGGCTAAACATCCCCAGCTCCCGCAACAGTGGTCCCATGGGGTGGGTGAGTTTCTTTTTATTTTCAAGAAAGGTTAAGAATAACTCTGCAGCTGGATTAGCCCATTGTTTCACCCAAAGGCCTTTCTTAAAAAGGAAGACAAGACCGGCCCTGCCATGAGTCTTGCCTCAGGCAGTGGCTGTGGGTGAAGCAGCAGTGTCTCTGCCCAGTGAGGCCCTTCCATGACAGAGGAAGCTGGCTGAAGTCTTGTCAGGATTTTGTCTGTCCAGCAATGGCAAGCAGCTTGGACCCATCAGGGCCTGGGAGAGGAAGAGAACCGAGAAGATGCCATAGCTCCTGCTACAGCTGAAGGTGAAGAAGAGACAAGAGAGCAGACCCAACGCCTCTCTCCTGTGCCCAAGAGGGGCCTCACTGCAATGCAATGCAGAGGAGGCTGCTCATTGGGGAAGGGGAGCCCAAAGCAGAACCCCTGTTCCTGCTCACTGCAACATGCTGACCTTCCCTTTGTCTGCCTCATTTCCTAGTCTTCAGCCCTGGCCTAAGAGCAAGCGTGGCCAAACTTGGCCCTCCAGATGTTGTTGGCCTACAACTCCCATCACCCCTAGCTAACAGGAGCAGTGTTCAGGGATAGTGGGAATTGTAGTCCCAAAATATCTGGAGGGCCGAGTTTGGCCATGCCTGCCCAAGAGGCGAGAGGTTTCAACACCAAGTGGTAAGAATCCCTGTTTGCTTTTCTCCTCTATTTGGCACAAGGTTGTAGTTCACCAGCAGGGCAGTTGCTTGGCATGCAGAAGGGCTTGAGTTCAATCCCCTTCTGGAGAGGTGCTGCCAGTCAGGGTAGACCAGTGCTGGCCAAAGGTGTCCAATTCTAAATATGCTTTTGCTGCTACTTCTTTGAAACGTGTTCATGGGATGTCCTTTTATTTCATCGTATCAAAGAACATCTTCAAAGTTGGTTACATCATAGACAATTACAGGATATATTTAAGGAGGATAACAAAAAAGGCTTCTCATATTTGGCTTCCAATTTCCAAAAGGAAGTGATAGAAGAAAACACAGAATTATTAAAAAAGGCATATAACATCCTTTTGGAATGGGAGACCAAAGATGAAGAAGTAAAATCAGTAATGATTAAATTGGTGCAAGATGTAGGACATAATATACAATTTCACGAATGATAAAATTGTAGAAAATAAATTTGAAATTTACAGATTTCATATTATTGAGAGAGAATTATATGAAAATGATGTACAGATGGTATTTATCACCGGTTAAATTGGCAAAAATGTATAAAAACGAAAAGAAAAAGTGTTGGAGATGTGAAACAGAAGGTACGTTCTATCATATGTGGTGGGATTGTAAGAAGGTAAAATCCTACTGGGAAATGATATACAATGAATTGAAGAAAATGTTAAAAATAACTTTTGTAAAAAAAACCAGAAGCCTTTTTATTAGGTATGTTAGGTCAAGACATACCAAAAGAAATGAGGACTTTATGTATGCCAGCAAGAGTGTTGATTGCACAAAATTGGAAGACTGGAGAAATACCAACTAAAGAACAATGACAGGAGAAGTTGATGAACTATGCAGAACGGGCAAAAATGACAGAAAGACTAAGAGAAAAAGACAACAGAGACTTTGAACAAGATTGGGAACCATTCATAATATATTTGCAGAAACAAAGAAAGGCAATAGACTTGATGGCAGGATTTAAATAAACATCCACATAATTAGCATGTTTGGAAGATAGTGAAATAAGATGATGTATTTAATTTTAATTTTATGCTTTTAAGGTTTGATGTTATGTTATTAATAACTTTTTCTGTTGAGAGATAGCAAAGTGGGTGAAAATAGAAACAAACCAGAAACGCAAGTTGAGGGAAGTCTTGGAGGGGAGGGAGGGAGGAATATATAGGAAATGTTAAGAATTTGAGGTGTATGTAATGAATGAAAATGAAAAATGAATAAAAAAATTAAAGAAAGAAACATATGTTCGTGGGATGCCCGAAGCTTGCACATTTTTGGAGGAAAGTATTAAGGTGCATAAGAACTACATACGAACTTTATATGCATTGACAACGGGTTAATGTAAATGTACGCTTTGCATCCTTCCTTCTGCTAAACAACTGATATTGATTCATTGGAAAGATAATGCCATGGTCCCCTTTGAACGATGGATACAAGATAGGACTACTCTTGCAAAATAGGAGTGTAGATTGTGGAGAAATAGAATACATTTATAAAAACAATGATTTGTTAATACAGTGGTACCTCAGGTGAAGTACTTAATTCGTTTCGGAGGTCCGTACTTAACCTGAAACTGTTCTTAACCTGAAGCACGACTTTAGCTAAGGGGGGCCTCCTGCTGTTGCCGCACCGCCAGAGCCCGATTTCTGTTCTCATCCTGAAGCAAAGTTCTTAACCTGAAGCACGATTTCTGGGTTAGTGGAGTCTGTAACCTGAAGCGTATGTAACCTGAGGTACCACTGTAATATTTTACTCGTCACTATATCGTTCCACTTATATACCTACATATTGTATTGTATCATAGTTTCAAGCAGTTTCCTTTGTTTTGACCTTTCTCCATCTTTTTCACTTCATTTCTCTACTGAAAATTGACAACAAAATAGAAATTTTAAGAGAAAAAGAGAGGTTGAATGGTGCTTTTCCTTTGGGGGGGTTTCCCGTGGGAGTGGGAAGAGGTTCATAAAAGAGAAAAGTGCCGCTCCTGATGCAGCCCATGTGGAAGGCGTTGAGGTGTCGCTCCTGGTGGGTGCAAGTGGCCCAGATCTGGGAGAATGGCCAGAGCGCGGAAGAGGCCAGAGAACCTTCCTCCAGGAGAATAACGGGACTGGCAGGCAGCCTTGGCCTCCTGGAACAACTGCACTGTTGTCCTTGCAGTTAAAAGGACTGCACCCTCTGGGGAGAGAGAGACTTTGTGTTGAGACCTTGTATTGGACTGGTTGCCTCTTTGCTCATTAAATGAATTAAAGACTCGTCTTCCTCCACCGTCTCTGTGAGATGTGGTTATTTCATTCTGGGGGTCCGAGGGGGAACCTTCTGCAGTGTAGAAACACTACCAACCAGATCCTTGGGTTCCCCTCGGCTATGGACCCCCTCCCAGAGGATGCAGGGCTTCCCCCAGTCATCCATCCCTTTGGTGAGCCAGTCTACCTGCAGGAGATTCTGCAGTCCCCCTCCGGGCATGTGGCCCTTTCTGCCCAAGCCCCTTCAAGGTACGGAGGGCACACGTTCAAGGTATGGAGTCAAACTTCTCTGAAGTCTCTCGGGCTCACTCACCTCACAGAGTGTGCGTTGTGGGGGAGGAAGGGAAAGGAGATTGTGAGCTGCTTTGAGACTCCTTCAGGTAGCGATAAAGCGGGATATCAAATCCAAACTCTTCTTGGGACTGGCGGTGAAATATACTCTAAGCCGAGAGTGGATTTCATTCTCTTTATTCAGCTCATAGTGGTGAGGAGGAAAGTTCCCCCACAATATCTGCTTTATATACCTTATTTACACAATGGGCTGCATGCGATTGGCTAATTCTGGGATTCTCCTGTGGACCAATCAGTTTGTGGATTCACTTCCACCTGGAGCTCGATTGGGTGGCTCCTGCGGACCAATCATACTGCTGCATTGTTCTAGGACCAATCAGACTGCTGCATTTTGGATCCTATTCAACTCAGTACATAACAGGCAGAGAGAGGGAGGGTGTCCGGCCATGCAAGGCTCTCTCGGCATCTGCCCTTTCTGCCCGCTCCAGGTCTGGGGTGCGCGGTGGCTCCTTGAAGCCTCACCATCCCCTCGCTGGAGAGGAACAGGGGAGACCCCGAAACTCCAGAGGCGCAGCCGAGACAGGGTGAACGGGGGAGAAGCTGGTCCAGGGGAGGTGGAGGGTAGATCTGCCCCTGGGCGGAGGAAGCGAGCTCCTTGCCCAACAGCACAGAGGGACCATTCGGACCTCCAGACTCAGCTCCTGTCCGCCCAGCCCAGACCCCGTGAAGAGCCGGGGCGACAGAGGACTCCAGTTGGGGCGACACCCAGAGCAAGGCTGGGCTGGAGTCTAGCAGCAAAGGGGGCTTTCGGCCTTGAGTGCCCCCCTTCTGCCCCCTTCCCTTGCCAGCTGCGCCCCCCCTGATGTTTCTGAACCAACCTCCCACCCCCGATGTGGAGCCTAGGAAGGGGGCTGGGGGCATAGCTGCCAACCATCCCTTATTTGGCGGGACAGTCCCTTATCCCAGCGCCATGTCCCGCTGCTGTCCCTTATTGATGGATGTCCCTTCAATTTCCCGGGTTTCAAAGGAAGCAGCTCCTCTCCCTCCCTCCCTCCCTCCCTGCCGGCCAGGGAGGAGGGAGGCTCCAACTGGGTTGCTTGGCTGCGTTGCTCACCCAATAAGGAGTCTAAGAACGACTGGGGGGTGGAGCTTGCATGCCTTGTGCCAATCAAATCGGCCGCCTTGCCTGGGGACTCACCTTTGCTCAGCGCTTCCCAGCAGAGAAGTGATGGTGGTTTTCCTTGCTGCATCCCCTTTGCCGGGTTGCTGCGCTATGGGAACTGTTGTGTATTGAGTCAAAGGATTTTATATCTGTATTATTATTGTCTGTATTTGCATTAGGGTAAAGTAACTGCCTTTTGGTTTCAAAGGGTACAGCTACTACTGATTCATTTAAGCTGCTGTATTTGGATCCTCTGTCCTATTGGTTTCCTCCAAAAGGCAGGACTGTGATTGCCTGATATTGTTCCCTCCAAAATGTATCCTTTCTAGCTAGTCCCCTGTCCCTATAAATGTAGCTTTCCTCTCCCCAGTCTTTAGTCTTTAGTTACTAGAGAACGGTCTCCAGCATGTTATATCAAGAGAGCTGAAATCACAAACCCCGCGTCACAACAGGAACCACCGCTTGAGGCTTCCTTTGGCTGCTGGCTGGGCTTTCTGCCTTTGGCTCGGAGGGGCTCAGAAGTCGAACATACCTGTGGCCCTTGGAAAATCCCTTATTTGGGCTGCTGGTCCCTTATTTCTGAGGCTGCTGGTCCCTTCTTTTCAAATCTGTAAATTGACAGCTATGCTGGGGGGGGGTCAGCCCGCAGAGCCCCCCCCCCGCCTGCCTGCTGCGGCCTGAGTGGGGGGGGGCGTGCAGGAGAGGCGGCGGCAGCGCGGGGGTCCCTCTCCTCGGCGGGAGCGCGCAGGGGGGGTTCTGGCGGGGAGGGCGCGCGCCCTGCTGTCTGGAGGCCCAGCTTGGGCAGCCTGCCTTGCCCAGCCCAGGTCCGCATCCTCGGCGGCCGAGACCCGGGGACGGGGAGGGGAGACTCGGCGGGGCAGGCAGGCTGGCCCGGCCTCCCGGGGGAAGCGGCGGAGGAGAGGCCTGCCCGGCCCTGGAGCTGCCCGAGACCCAGCCCGCCTGCAGGGCGCTCTGCACATGCTCGGCTCTCCCTCTCCCCAGCCCCCTTCCTCGCCTCCCCTCTGGCTCCCTGAACCCCAAGGGTCGCCAGGAACCCCGGGAGTGGGGCTGGGCTTCAGAGCCCCAGCCAGCGGGGGGCTCCTCTTTCTCCTTCTCGGCTCCCCCCAAAGGAGACCAGCTGGGCGCGCCAGGCTAGGCAAGGGTTAAGAGCAGCTGAGCCCCTTTCCTAGAGAGGACAGGAAAGGAAGGGCGGGGGCGGGGTCTTCCGGAGGCGGCGCCCCTCTTGTCTCCTCCGGTGAGTCTCCCCCTCTTTCCTGGGGGTCCTGCCGTGGGGCGGGGGGGGGCTGCTCCGCCGGGGCCTCCCCCCCCCCGACCAGGCGAGGGGTCCTGCCATTGGGGGAAGGCGGGGGGCAGATAAGCCCTGGGGGGCCGGGCGGAAAGCGGGGTACGGAAAAGAAACGCAGCAAGTGAGGACTGGGGGGGGAGCCCAGCCCTGCCTTGGGGAGCCCGGGATGCAGGGGGGCGGGGAGGGGCTGTGGGTCAGGGGAGCCGGGATGCAGGGGGCGGGGAGGGGCTGTGGGTCAGGGGGAGCCCGGGATGCAGGGGGCGGGGAGGGGGCTGTGGGTCAGGGGAGCCCGGGATGCAGGGGGGCGGGAGGGGGCTGGGGGTCAGGGGGAGCCAAGCAACGCGCATGAGAACGGGGGGGGGGGAGCCCGGGATGCATGGGGGCGGGGAGGGGCTGGGGGTCAGGGGGAGGCCCGGGATGCAGGAGGGGGCGGGGAGGGGGGCTGGGAGGTTCAGGGGAGCCCGGGATGCAGGGGGGCGGGAGGGGGCTGTGGGTCAGGGGAGCCCGGGATGCAGGGGGGGCGGGGAGGGGGGCTGTGGGTCAGGGGGAGCCCAGCCCTGCCCTTGGGGACCCCTGGCAGCTCCGCCTGGAGGGTGGGCCAGCATCCCCTGGGATCCCTCCCTGAGACGGGGGGGGGGGCAGGAGGACCCCCAAGCATCTATGGCTCTGGGGATTATGCAATGGGACATCACCATTGCGGTTGTTATTATTATTATTATTATTATTATTTATTATTAACCTTCTCTTCCCCCAGAGTTCCCAGGGCAGATTACAACATTAAAACTATACTTGAAACAGACAGAAGGTGAGTCTTACTTGCTTTTTAGCAGTGTTCTTTTACCCCACCTAATCATCATCATCATAGATTTATATGCCCCCCCCCCGCCTGACCACATTTTCCAGGCATTCTGGGCGGCTTCCAACAAATTAAAACACAGAAAGGCTACCTGAAGACGTACTTTGGAGTGGCCCAGTTAGCCCTTGGGGGGGTTGAGCAGACAAGCACCCGACCCTCAGAAAAAAGAGAAGGACCCCTTGAGGACGTTGGGGATTCCAGGTGCTGGAAAATAAGACAGAAGCAGGAAGGAAATGGGCCCTGAAGCGGGGGTGGGAGACGAAGAAAGCCCCTCTTGCGGGTCCACAGCTTAAGACCCCAACTGTGGGCCAGTGACCACTTCCCAGGCCATGGCCCTGACTGAAGGTTTCCTCCTGAGTCAGGCAGAGGAGAGGAAGCAGGCAGAGCAGCAGGTGAGAGAGACTTTCCCCTGGAAACTCCCAAGGGGCTCAGAATGTGAGGGATAATCTCCCAAACTGCTCTTCTAATGGCTCACCGTCTTTTGGGAAGCAAGGGATGAGATCTGCTCCCCTACAGTGCTTTCTTCGGTCATTCCTGTTCTAATCCTTCTCCCTATTCTCTGTTTTGATCCTTGTTGCTCTTTCCGGGAAAGGATCTGTTTGCAGAAATGGACCCAGATTCCTCTGAGGCACAGAGGACTCAGGTGGACACCAGAGGGAGGCCACTGGGTAAGGAGAAGCGAGTTTTTCTTCTCATTCTGTGGATCTTGAAACTATCTGTGGGTTCTGTTCATCTTTAGGGGGGGGGGGAAGCACTTGGGGACGAGAGCGCCAAGGAGGGGAGATGTATTTTGACCCAAAGTAAGTTTGAAATGAGTACAAATGTCTAAATGCACTTTGCAAGGAAGACTTTTTCTAAGGTCCATCTGTAGCCTGAAATGCGCGGCTGGGGACTTCCGGATTAGCGCCACTGGCAATGGCAGATTTCCTCTGATCGGGAGGAATCCGCTCCGTGAAAATCAGGGTCTGGACCGCCACGGCGAGGCGGAGACCCATCAAAAACCACAGGCGGGAGAAGCCTGTGGACGTGGGATTTGGCAGGCAGCTTTCGCGCCTCCCCTACTCGCGGGGAAACCTGGTTTCGGGGATCCGGAGCATCTTGGGGTAAGTGGTGCGGTGCTTCGAATCGACTGCTCTTTTCACGGAGTGAAGCCACATTGCTGTTGCCGGAGAGCGCTGACTTTTTTCCTGTGGACAATTGGACTTTAAACAACTACCCGTGAGTAGAACGGAAAATTGGACTTTGAAATATCTTTAATTTGGCACCGAAGCGGGAAGGTTCCAAACAGGAAGTCTGCCTTCCGCTTTTGTAGATAGATTGAAGCAAAGACATTACAAGCTAAAGTCTGGAAAGACTTTTGTAAAGAACTAAATCTCCACCGGCTGAAACTACTAACCCCCCTTGGAAGCAGGAGAAGAGGGGGGAAATTTTAAACTGTTCAAACCTGCAGGAGAGAGAGTAAAGAAAGATAAATTTCCACTGCCTTGAACCTGGGAATGGGTTGTTAGGAAGACAGACGTTTTGAGAAAGCCCATTGACTGTGAATAAAACATTTGTTGAAAGATAGTTAAAAAAGAGAAACATATTGATTCCAATGTTTCCTTTTGCATTTAAAAGGAACAAAATGTTTGAAAAACGATAGTAATTTTGTTGCTGGATCTGCTCTTAAAAGGACGGATACAAACAGAAATTGTTTCCCCTAGAGGGAGTTTTGAAAACTGTTGTTGGAGTCGATCTGGGGGAACTCTCCAGCTGTAGAGATTAAAGAGCGTGAGAAACAGACATTGACCTTGAACAAGAATGTGCCCAGAAGAAGCCTTAGTGATTGCTTTTTGCAAGACAAGCGCTTTACTGGAACAGCTACATGAGAAGATGGATTTGATGACTGTTGCAGTTAATAATTTTGGACAAACAGTGAATACCTATATAAAAACCACTCAGGAACCGACCCAGGAATCCGCTTTGACAGGCCAAGTTGTGCAGAAGACAAAGGAGGAGGCTGCTGTTGAACCTCAAGTAATACAAGTGAAGAGAGCCGAGGCCTTGCAGGAACATAAGCTGTTGTTTTTGATGACCGAACCTGGAGAAAGTCAGATTTGGAGAGATGGAGCCTCGTTTGGATTGGAGACGGGAAATTGGATAGATCCTCCTATGCAGGGCTGTTCTGGCTTCTGGGATTTGGTGTTGTGCCAGGGGGAGTCTGGAGCTGTGGGGGCCTTCAACTATGGAGGGACTTTGAAACATGCCTTGAAATATTGTTTGGATTTTACAGCTGTCTATGGAGAATGGGCCGTCTGGCCGAGAAGGGATAAAGACATTGTTAGGTTGGAAACTCCCCGAGATCTACTCCTCAGCGACAAAGGAAGGAAACCAAGAACAAGATCAGCAGAAGACAAAGTAAGGTGCAGGTATAAATATGAAGAAGATCTGCAGAAGGGACATGGAAAAGAGTTAAGAGCCTCGGATAGAAGATCACCAGGTTGATGGACTAAATGGAATGGACAGAAAGGACTGACAGAACCCGAGACCAGGAAGAAGAGACGGTGGATGAAGATTGGAAAAAAAGTTTTTAAAAATTCAATTAGAGAAATATTGTAAAATTAATGAGTGTTAGAAAAAATGTTGGAATGAAACTATTTGGCTTTAGTAGAAATGTTATAAGGAGTTATGTATAAATAAGCTTTAAGCTTTAGGGCTTTTTATAGTAAGATAAGGTTAAAATTAAAATAAATTAAGATAATTTAATGACAGAACATAGTGAAAGATGGAAAGGATTTGCTGAGATAATTAATAACTAGAATACAAAAAAGGGAGGTGTGAGGAGGTCGATTGTCAGGGAACTGACATCGGAGCTAGAGGCGGAGGGAAGGCTCTCAAATGATGCTGGAGAAGGGCCCAGCAGGGAGAGAGGCAGCTCCGCAGATGGGGAAGCAAATCAGCGCAACACCAGGGATATAGAGGGGCTGAGGGGTGAATCGGCGAGAGGGCTCCAGGACTCTTCACCGGACACCAGCGGGGAGAGCACGGGTCCTCCGCTACCCACGCCCACCCTGCGCAGAAGACTTCCGCGCAGAGAGAGTAGGAGGAGACTGGGTGTCAAACAACTTTTATGTTGGAAAAGATTTAAGAAACGCCCACTGACGGATTCTGCTTGCGACTGAGGCAGCCACGAAGTGAAGGGCTGCCCAGACTGAAATGTTTAGCAAGGCAACAAAGCCTGGAGAGGCGGCAACTTACGCACGAGCAACCCATACACATTACATTGATGAAACAAGATAACGAAAGATAAAGATTTGGGAATATGCTTTTTGTTTTTTGTTTTTTGTTTGCCTTTGTTTTTGGCTTCGATGTATTGTGTGTTTTGTTTCCTTTTTTCTTTTTATTGACTTGTACTGTTTAATTTCTTTTTTCTTTCTTTTGTTTTTCTCTTTTTCTCTGTAATCTTAAATTCTTAATAAATATCATTAAAAAAAAATGCGTGCTGAACCTCTGAGAGACGCAGGAGCTGATGGCTTCCCTTTGACTTTTGTCTCTCGTCTCTCGCAGGTGACCGGAGGATGCCCCCCAGACCTCCTCATCCATCTTTTCATGAGAACGGAGGAGAAGCAGCAGCTGTGGAAACAGATCTGGTATGGGGAAAGAGCTTTGTGGGGAAAGAGTCAGAGGAGTGGGGCAGCCAGGGAGCCTCTGGGCCGGAAAGAATTTCTCCTCCTCTTGGCTTCTGTCAAAGCCTCGGTCCTGAACAAAGATGGACAATGCCATTCGAAAAGGTTTATGTTCTGAAAGGAATGAACAGCCACCTCACCTCAACTATCCTTCTGAATTTCTCTGTATTTATCAGTAGCTGCAGTTATATTTCTATATTGATCTAATCAGGCTTCTAAGCAGTTGAAAAGCTTCCAAGAAGTTGAGAAGCCATAACAAACAGTGGCCAGGATTCACCTCAGCAGCCCCATCAGCTGAAGAAGGGGAATCCCCTCCTCCCCCTCTTTGTGCCCCCATGAGCCCCTCTTTCTCCAACTGAGTTATGTTACAATCAGCTGCTGCTGCCTTCTCCCTAGCTTCCTCCGCCGTCTGCTGTGTCAAAGTGGATTCCTGTATCAATTTCTGAATGGATTCTGTATTAGTGTTCACCTTTTGTCCCAAGTTATTTATACTTTCAGTTGCAGTGTCCACTTTCTTGTTAAGTTGCTCCAGTGAAGCATTTATCTTACTTAATGCAACTGCAAGAGCCTCTTCTGTCGACATTCCTTTTGATTTTGAATGTGCTGATGCAGAAACAACAGCCGCAGAAGTGGTTGAGGGGCCTGATGTTGAAGATCTCCTGGGTTGCTGCCAAGTCTTGCCGGATCTCAATGTCCCCCCAGCTGCTGGCTGTTCTATTTTTCCTTTTTCATTTGCCATAACACTTAACGACTTCAAGGTCAGTCCCAAAGTCTCACGATTTCTTATCTTATGACTGGAAATTCCCCTAGCCCAGCTCTTTTAAAGTAACCAGTTTTAGAGACTTCCACTAGGGGGAAACAGTTTCTATTTGTAATAGTCAATTAGTATCCTCTTTCAAACACAAATCCGAAGTTAGTTTCAATTTTTCAATTACTTTTACCCCTTTTTAGTAACAGCCGGAGACAGTAGAAACAATGTATATCTCTTATTTTGCTAGCTGTCAAAGAACATTCTAAGCGCTGTCAATGAACATTCCAAAGCGTCAGTCCTGCTAGCAGCCCGTTTCCGGGGTCAGAGCGGCTGTGTTTTTACTTTCCTCACTCTCTCTTGCAGGTATACTCTGTCCTCAACTCCCCCCCCCCTTCTCCTGCTACCAGGGGGGGGGGGCTTATACTCATTTCCGATGGAAATTCAGTCTTTTGCGGAAGGCTTTCCAAGACTTTAGCTTGCAGCCTTATTGCTTTCCGTCTATTTACAAATAGGGAAGGCGGACTTCCTGTGTTGGACCTCCCCCGTTTTCGATGCCAAATTAAACTTTTAAAATCCAATTATCCCTCTTCCGCTCTACTCACGGGTAGTTCTTTAAAGTCAAATTGACCACAGGAAAAGGTCAGTGCTCTCCAGCAACAGCTGTGCGGCTTCGCTCCGTGGAAGAAGCAGACGATTCAAAGCACCGTGCCGCTCACCCCACTTCGCTCCGGATCCCCGAAACCGGGTTTCCCCGCGAGTAGGGGAGGCACAAAAGGTGCCCGTCGAATCCCACGCTCACAGGCTTCTCCCGCCTGTAATTTTTTGCGGGTCTCCGCCTTTGCCGTGGCGGCCAGACCCAATTCCCACGGGGCAAATTCCTCCCGATCAGAGGAATTCAGCCATTATCCAGAGGCACCCCCCGGAAGTTTTTCCAGGCTTTTAAGCAGTTGAGAAGCCATAGCAAACCGGGGCCGGGATTCACCTCAGCAGCCCCATCAGCTGAAGAAGGGGAATCCCCCTCCTCCCCCTCTCTGTGCCCCCATGAGCCCCTTGAAGTTGGCTGTAGGGCAGAGGGAGGGTCCCATCGCCCCCCAAGCCTCGCACAGCGGGAGTAGAGAAGGGATCGTTCTGTCTGGCAGACAGGAATACTTCCACAGACAGAATGATTTGAAGAACAGCATGCGGAGTTCCACCCATTCACACAAAGATTAATACCCATCATTAGAATGCACAGTAAAATAAATCATTGAAATGCTAAAATAGGCATCCAGACCTAAAATGTGCAGCAAAATAATCCCATTAAAACAACACAAAAAGGAATGGGCAGAAAACAACTGAGCAATGTATAGTGGATAATCTTTGTGCTGTCTCAGAAGAGGACCTTTTCCCTTTTCCTTCAGGGTCCTCTGTGCTTTGAAGATGTCGCTGTGTATTTCACAGAGGAGGAGTGGGCGTTGCTGGATCCTGACCAGAGAGCTCTGCATAAGGAAGTCATGGAGGAGAATCGTAGGATTGTGGACTCTCTCAGTAAGGATTCCTGCTGGACTATAATATATGTTTTGAAATACACACACACACACACACACACCCCTACCTCCACCTGTGAGAATCCTGCAATATTTTACTGGCGCTTGACAGCATCTGGGATTCTCCTTCCCCGCAGCTCACCTTGAATCTACTGTTCTGTCTGCAAATATTCTTGCCCCACATATGCCTTTTTAAACCATGACCAGGCTGGTCTAGGCTGCCCAGACCTTCTTGAATGTAACTTTCTGTGTGGTGGCAGAAGAAGTAGCAGCTTCTGTGAGGTTTTCTGTTTTTGCTTCTGTCACTTTCTGGTTGACCAAAGAGACAACTGGCCTTGCAGATGGAGGAGATTCCATGATTAGGCCAAACAAGATCCTTCCCGGAAGACGCCAGGCAGTTTGAATCTCAGGTTCCCATCAATCTGTGTGTCAAGGAGAGTCAACAAAGGCAGTGAACCCTGTAGTAAGACCTCAGATCTAAGTCCCTTCCGTTCTTCATCGATCACAAACATTCATTAGCAGTCTTCCAAATTTGGAGTTCCATTTCATCCTGAGGCTCTAATCTGTTTCTCTCTTTGATGCAGGTGGTGATGGATTGGAAATTATGAACAAGGGGAACCGTGACAACATTCACACAGTGGGGAAGTTGTATAAATATTTGGAGTGTGGAGAGAGTTATAGTCTGAGCTCCCATTCTACTTCCCATAAAATATATCCTATTGGGAAAAATAATGGGAACTTGGAAGATAGTAAGACATTTCGTCAGAAGACATTTCGCACTTTCCCTAAAAGAAGTCACAGCAGGGAGAAACCCCATCAGTGTTTGGAATGTGGGAAGAGGTTCAGTCACAGGGCTGTGCTCAAGGCCCATCAAAGAAGTCATACAGGGAGAGAAACCATATCAGTGCTTGGAATGTGGGAAGAGCTTCAGGCGGAAAGCTAATCTCATAGCTCATCAAAGCATTCATACAGGGGAGAAACCATATCAGTGCTTGGAGTGTGGGAAGAGCTTCAGGGAGAAAGCTAAGCTCACAGCTCATCAAAGCATTCATACAGGGGAGAAACCATATCAGTGCTTGGAGTGTGGGAAGAGCTTCAGGGAGAAAGCTAAGCTCACAGCTCATCAAAGCATTCATACAGGGGAGAAATCATATCAGTGCTTAGAATGTGGAAAGAATTTTAGTCAGAAGTATACCCTTACTTCACATGAAAGAATTCACAGAGAGAAACCATATAAATGCTTTGAATGTGGAAGGAGCTTCGTTAGGGGCTACCATCTCACTTCCCATCAAAGAATTCACACTGGGGAGAAACCACATAAGTGCTTGGAATGTGGAAAGAGCTTCACGAGCAAGAATAGTCTCACTTCCCATCAAAGTATTCATACAGGGGAGAAGCCACATAAGTGCTTGGAATGTGGAAAGAGCTTCAGTTACAGGGCTACGCTCAAGGCCCATCAAAGAATTCATACAGGGGAGGAACTATATCAGTGCTTGGAATGTGCAAAGAGCTTCAGGCAGAAAGCTAAGCTCACAGATCATCAAAGAATTCATACAGGGGAGAAACCATATCAGTGCTTGGAGTGTGGGAAGAGCTTCAGGCACAAAGCTACTCTCACAGCTCATCAAATAATTCATACAGGGGAGAAACCATATCAGTGCTTGGAATGTGCAAAGAGCTTCAGGCAGAAAGCTAATCTCACAGCTCATCAAAGAATTCATACAGGGGAGAAACCATATCAGTGCTTAGAATGTGGGAAGAGCTTCAGTCAAAAGCATAGTCTCACTTCCCATCAAAGAATTCATACAGGGGAGAAACCATATCAGTGCTTGGAATGTGGAAAGAGCTTCAAATGGAAGAAAAGTCTCACTTACCATCAAGGAACTCACAGCAGGGAGAATCATGTTATTTGAAGATGGGTCTCATATGTCCTCTCAATCTCCTCTTTTCCAGTCTAAGCCTACCCAGCTCCTTCTATCGTTCCTTAAAAGGCTTGGTTTCCAAATGCCTGATTATATTGGTCACCCTTCTCTGCACAGATTCCAACTTCTCAATATCCTCCTTTGATTGTGACATCCGGAATTGAGCACAGGACTCCAGGTGTGGTCTGACCAAGGCAGAAAGGAACATAGTATTACTTCCCATAACCTGGATATTAGACGTCTGTTGATATAGCCTAAAACAGCATTAGCTTATTTTGCTACTGACTCACCTTGTTGACTCATGTTAAGCTTTAGGTGTCCTAAGACCCTTAGATCCTTTTCACATGTGCTGCTGGCAAGCATGGTGTTTCCCATAGAATCATAGAATTGTCGAGGTCTAATGGTCTTAGTGGACCACAAGCTAAACATGATTCAATCGTCTGATGGCATCCAGTATGGAATGTGTGCCTCCGTTTTTTAGCATTTTTAGTTGTCTAAAAATGCTGAATGCTAGATGACACAACCTTGATGGCAGAAAGTGAGGAGGAATTAAGGAACCTTTTAATGAGGGTGAAAGAGGAGAGCGCAAAATATGGTCTGAAGCTCAACATCCAAAAAACGAAGATCATGGCCACTGGGCCCATCACCTCCTGGCAAACAGAAGGGGAAGAAATAGAGGCAGTGAGAGATTTTACCTTCTTGGGCTCCATGATCACTGCAGATGGTGACAGCAGCCACGGAATTAAAAGACGCCCGCTTCTTGGGAGAAAAGCAAAGACAAGCCTTGACAGCATCTTAAAAAGCAGAGACATCACCTTGACAACAAAGGTCCGCATAGTTAAAGCTCTGGTTTTCCCAGTAGTGATGTATGGAAGTGAGAGCTGGACCATCAAGAAGGCTGATTGCCGAAGAATGGGTGCTTTTGAATTCTGGTGCTGGAGGAGACTCTTGAGAGTCCCATGGACTGCAAGAAGATCCAACCTCTCCATTCTGAAGGAAATCAGCATCTGGTTTTCGGACAAAAGTTTTCTAAAGCATTTTCTTTAACTCAGTATATATCATTCCCCAGAACGCTTTCACCACTCCACAGGACCACCACAAAAGCAATGCCAAACCTAGACAGCATCTTAAAAAGCAGAGACATCGCCTTGCCAACAAAGGTCCGTATAGTTAAAGCCATGGTTTTCCCAGTAGTGATGTATGGAAGTGAGAGCTGGACCATAAAGAAGGCTGATCACCGAAGAATGGATGCTTTTGAATTAGAAGAAGAAGAAGAAGAAGAGTTTGAATTTGATATCCCGCCTTTCACTCCCTTTAACAAACACTCCGTGAGGTGAGTGGGGCTGAGAGACTTCAGAGAAGTGTGACTGGCCCAAGGTCACCCAGCAGCTGCATGTGGAGGAGCGGAGACGCAAACCCGGTTCCCCAGATTACGAGACTACCGCTCTTAACCACTACACCACACTGGCTCTCCAACACTGGAATTATGGTGTTAGAGGAGACTCTTGAGAGTCCCATGGACTGCAAGAAGATCCAACCTCTCCATTCTGAAGGAAATCAGCCCTGAGTGCTCACTGGAAGGACAGATCGTGAAGCTGAGGCTCCAAGACTTTGGCCACCTCATGAGAAGAGATGTCTCCCTGGAAAAGACCCTGATGTTGGGAAAGATGGAGGGCACAAGGAGAAGGGGACGACAGAGGACGAGATGGTGGGACAGTGTTCTGGAAGCTACCAGCATGAGTTTGACCAAACTGCGGGAGGCAGTGGAAGACAGGAAGGCCTGGCCTGCTCTGGTCCAGGGGGTCACGAAGAGGCGGACACCACTAAACAACAAGCAGTCTCTGCTCTTTTTGCCTTCCCAGGGCGGAAGGTGGAGTGGATGTCTGAAACTCAGTGTCAAACTGAAACTCAATCCAGATAAGCCTGAGGCAGTTAGTGGGTGGTGCCCTAGACCAGATGGCTGGGAGATGGCCTGCTCTTAAAAAAAAAAATTGGTTTTACATAAAGTTATACACAATAACTCTAACCTTTCCAAAACATACAAAATATCAAGGTTCTTTCAAACCTTCAGACCTTCCCCCACACGGGTTCCAGTTCCAAAGATGTTATCTTTTCCCTTTTCCCTGCATCTTTTACCATTATCCATCTCTTATGTAACCATAGTAACCAAAGTTCAGTTCACATTACAAGTGTCATTGCATCCCTGCCCGTGATTTTAACTGTCTACAGTATCTGTCAAGTATACTGTCAAGTATACAATAAAATTATTCCAGTCTTTTAAAAATACTTGTTCTTCCTGGTTTCTGATCTTTCCCCTTAGTCTCGCCATTTCTGCGCATTCCATCAGTTTGGTCTGCCGCTCTTCCTTAGTCGGTACTTCACCTTCTTTCCATCTCTGGGCCAAAAACATTCCCGCTGCTGTGGTTGCGTACGTAAACAGTCTCTTATTTCCTTTGGGAATTCATCACATATATTATAACAGAGAAGCCTCTGGTTTTCTGACAAAGGGTGAGGGGAGAGACTCCATCAGGCAAGGCCTCCTTCCACCTGCCTTGCCCACCCTCTGCTTCTCAATGTGTTTTGTATTGTTCTGTCTACTGTGGCTTGCCGTTATAGTTTAGATATTATTGTAACTGTTGAGCGGATTTCTGTTTAACTTTTATATGTTATTATTATGTTATACTACTCTAATTAATGGTTGAATGTTGCTATTTTGATGTACGCTGCCCATTTTAAAGTTATGTTTTGTATTGCATTAGATTGTTAGAAGATGTATATTTTCTGTTTCTTCAGCTTGTAAACCGCCTTGAGTATTGTAAGATAGAAAGGCACTATACAAATTAAAATTGATGATGTCGATGATGACAAAAGTTTTCTTAAATGCTTTCTTTAATTCAGTATATATCATTTTCCAGAACACTTTTACCACTCCACAGGACCACCACATATGATAAAAGGTACCTTCTTTCCTTCTCCGATAAAGAAAACAATGCCCGACCTGAAGAATTTGGAGCAAATGATTCAGCAAAGGAAACACAGCCCAGAATAACTAAGGAGATAGTACAAGAATACTTGGCTAGTTTAGATGTATTCAAGTCTCCAGGGCCAGATGAACTGCATCCAAGAGTATTAAAAGAACTGGCAGATGTGATCTCAGAACCACTGGCAGTCATCTTTGAGAATTCCTGGAGAACAGGCGAAGTCCCGGCAGACTGGAGGAGGGCAAATGTTGTCCCTATTTTAAAAAAGGGGAAAAGAGAGGACCCAAATAATTACCGCCCAGTCAGTCTGACATCAATACCAGGGAAGATTCTGGAGCAGATCATTAAGCAAACAGTCTGTGAGCACCTAGAAAGGAATGCTGTGATCACCAATAGTCAGCATGGATTTCTGAAAAATAAGTCATGTCAGACTAACCTGATCTTGTTTTTTGACAGAATTACAAGCCTGGTAGATGAAGGGAACGCAGTGGATGTAGCCTACCTTGATTTCAGCAAGGCATTCGACAAGGTGCCCCATGATATTCTTGTAAAGAAGCTGTTAAATGCGGTCTTGACTATGCTACCACTCAGTGGATTTGTAACTGGCTGACTGACCGAACCCAAAGGGTGCTCATCAATGGTTCCTCTTCATCCTGGAGAAGAGTGACTAGTGGGGTGCCACAGGGTTCTGTCTTGGGCCCGGTCTTATTCAACATCTTTATCAACGACTTGGATGATGGACTCAAGGGCATCCTGATCAAATTTGCAGATGACACCAAACTGGGAGGGGTGGCTAACACCCCAGAGGACAGGATCACACTTCAAAACGACCTTGACAGATTAGAGAACTGGGCAAAAACAAACAAGATGAATTTTAACAGGGAGAAATGTAAAGTATTGCACTTGGGCAAAAAAAATGAGAGGCACAAATACAAGATGGGTGACACCTGGCTTGAGAGCAGTACATGTGAAAAGGATCTAGGAGTCTTGGTTGACCACAAACTTGACATGAGCCAACAGTGTGACGCGGCAGCTAAAAAAGCCAATGCAATTCTGGGCCTCATCAATAGGAGTATAGCATCTAGATCAAGGGAAGTAATAGTGCCACTGTATTCTGCTCTGGTCAGACCTCACCTGGAGTA